AGAAAGAAAGAAAGAAAGAAAGAAAGAAAGAAAGAAAGAAAGAAAGAAAGATTGTCTCAAACCCATGCTGGCTCCTGTTATTAGCAGAGTTCTTTCAAAAACATTTGCAGACCTGCTGCTTGACAATCTGTTCCAAAAGAGACTTTAGCATAAGTTCAAAGCCATGGAGGAGGCAGCAGAGAACTGAATTAAATATGCTGCTTTAGACAAAAAATGCACGATAGATTTCCCACCCCCCCATACAAAAACCCTATTTAAATCAAGAAATGTAGACAATGTGTCTAACTGCAGGAAAAGTCATACTTTAATGATTAAAATGGCATATCATAGATCACTTCATTCCTACACAAGCTCCTTTTTCACTTTTTTTTCTCTAAGGACCAAAAGTTCTCAAGTGGGAAAAACCAAAAGTGGAATTTCCTGCTTTAAAAAAAAAAAAAAAACAGCTGGAAATTCACTTCACAGTATATCAAATTTTGTATTCTCCATTACTACTTACATGCATTTAATCCTTACAGCATCTGTTACTCGGTGAGCTTTGATACAGATAATCAAGTAGAAACAACTCAAGAGAAAATCTAAATGAAAGTAAATAATTTAAATCTTTTCAACCACAGTGCATATTAATGCACAGGCATCAGATGAACTAGAAAAGGTATCTTTAACGTTTTGGGATCGTATCAATGTGTAAAATTATGCTTAGCCCTTACACCAGATAAATAATTATGTCTAAAATCCCTGGAGTGTGGTTGCTAATGGAACAAACTTGATAAAGAGAACCTTTTTCAGCATCAAAATATAAAACACATTTCTATTCATATGGAAAACTGACTTTTATAGTCATTATATATAGAACCTAGTAATATTTCCAAACAATATCTTGGGTAAGTGTAAAGCTAAACCATGCTTCTTCTAAACAGTAATCCAAACGAACAGATGCTCAGATTATGAAAACCCTATAAAAGCAGCCCAATCCTTCTTACATATTATCACACTCCCTCGCAAATGAGTGCACAAAGGTTTTCTTATTATCAACAACTGGTTCTGCCTACTGCCGTGTTTCTTTTTTTACCAAATTCACCAGGATTACTCACACAGTACATTCTCTTAAAGCAGTTTTGTTGCTTTATTTGATGCTCGTTTGATAAGCCCTTTTGGAAGCACCAGAAGAAAACGGAATGCCATATTCTTCAAACTATTCTTTTGGGGGTCATCGTAAAACCCTTAAAATATTAGAATTAAATTTATGTTTTTAAAAAGCATGTACCTGTGGCCATGATGGTGTCATCCTTCCCTTGAGTAATCACCACCACCCGCGGTCTTTTCGGATTTGCTTTTTTCAGCGCCTGAGTCTTTCGGGCGATCTCTTCAATGTCCTCTGTCTTGGTGGGGGAAAAAAAGAGAAGAAAAATCTTGAAAGCAGCAGAGTGAGTTATCAAAGCCAGATCATAAACTTTTCAACAGATTTGCAGAGGGATTGTTTTTAGTTGAACATGAATGTGGAGTACCGATGTCAGAATGAAATCGCAGCTGGACAAGCTACTTTGATTAGGACAAATTAGTTTTCTCCACGATCGAGATGATCACTGAAGGAGGGGATGAGGAGAAATAGACTGTTGGGCAATTATTTTTCATTTAATTTGCCTGACTACTCTGTTTCCCCGAAAATACGACCTACCCTGAAAGTAAGTCCTAGCTTGATTTTTACACGGGTGCCCGATATAAGCCCTACCCACAAAATAAGCCCTAATTAAGATCCCACCCACTCCAGAGTGGACAGGTAAAAATTAAGCTAGGGTGGGGATGGAGGGGTGGAGCTGCCCTACTACTTATCTTTAGACAGTTGTAGCCAGGCCTTGCACACCTCGACACCTGCTTCGCTGGCCCATTTCTTCTGCAGCCAGCAAGACTTTCCTAAAGGCCTCCATAAATGATAAGAAAGCTCTGGATTGATCCAGAGTTCTGCTATTGGCTGCAGGGGCCTTCAGGAAAGCCTTGCCGGTCACAGAAGAAGAGGCTCCTGAAGGCCTCTGAAAGCGAAAAGGAGGCCGGGAATGACATGTGCAAGTGAGGTTAGTCAGTGGATGATATCCCCCCAAAATAAGACCTGGTTCCTTTTTTTGTTGGCAAAACATTATAAGACAGGGCCTTGTTTTGGGGAAAACACAGTAGTAGCAGTGGGAAACAGATAGCTTGATATAATTGCTGGGGCAGAGGGGAAGTTAAAAGTCACCTCTTTAGTAGATTCCCAAAATGTGAAGGAATCCAGACCTGGACTTGGGTATGAGCAAGCCATTGAGGGGAGAGTTCTCACAAAAGATTACTCAATCCTGGGAAACAGGAAACAATGAGAACGGAACCGCTTTGATCCAACTTATACCAACACGATCAAAAGAGGTTCTTCCCTCCTTATATTTCCCTTTCTTCCTATGGGAAGAATTTGAAGAGACGTCCAAATATGATGAATCAGCCTCCTCACCATTTCTGGAGCAACTCTTACTATCCCTGTCCCAACTTTTCCACTATCTAACAGTACGGACCCAGAAGAGAATTTCATGGCTTCAGCAATTTTCAGGAGACAAGAGGCTTCAAAAAAGCCCAGTGGTTCTTCAAGAACCAGAGTCACAGGGGATTCTGTAGGGACAGGGCCTATATCTCTTGCTTTATCCCTCTTTTTCTGGTTTATAGATCACTAAAACCAATGTAATTCAATGTAATTCTTCTTAAGGTCTTCCGTGACCACAGACTGATGCTGTAAGAGTAGTTCTCGTAGAGAGAGCTAATTCAACGTTCTTGTACATAATTCTCCAAGGAGATGGATTCTATCCAGGAACCCAGAATTGCTGAAGGGTCATCCATTATCTGTAAATACCAGTCAACACCACTTCTTGGGAGTCCTCAGACGGACATCATTAAGGACAAAGCTATCTGCCCTCCTTATCTCACTTGAAGAATTTGGAAGTGGTCTTTTCACATAGCAAATTTCTGAATTCAATTTACAAGTTGATTCCCCCCCCCCCCTTTCCTTATGACTGTATTACTCAAATTATACGGAAATGCTGAATTACTAGAGTGTTCCATACAATACAACAAGTTATGCCTCCTTTTTACAAATGTTAAAGAAAACTCTACTAAATTGTTCAGGTATAACTACAAATATAAAGGCTATTTACAGCCACATTGATCTTCCCTCAAAAAAAATTTTTTTTTTCATAAGTTTCTCTCTGGATATCTCACTTTCAAAAGTCCTTTTCAGCCACAACGATATTCTCCCAGCATCTTATTATTTTCCAATTTTGTTATTCCTTTTAATCTAAAAATCTGTATTTTTTGCTCAGTATCTTCCAAATGACATTTTGCAGGTGATTACATTTTTGAAAATGATGAGGAAGGGTTTTTTTTTTTGTGCATATTAAAAGAAAATTCTTGCTTAGAAAATTCCCACATTGTGGAAAAGTAATTAGCTAGAGGATCTTTTATAAAATCTTCAAGAACATTAGGAATGATAACTTCGTGGTTCATGCTGAAATTGCTTTGCTCCAAAAATTACTTCCAGGATGGATTCCCCATATAACTTGGGAACTTCTACTTAAATATAAAACATTTAAGCCTTTAGGCTAAGAAAAACAGCTCCCATCTTATAAAGAATAGGTATCATTTAATTCAGAGTTTCTAAAACTTTAGGACAATCATTAAAACATCATCTGAATCGAACTTTTGCAATTTCTAATACTGTTCCCACCCACATTAAGTGTCACTTAAAAAGCCTTCTTCCATCTTAGTTTTTCTTTCAGTTTGTACTCTAATTCATCCAATGGTGGTAAAAAAATTAATTTAATTGAAATTAAATCATTGACTTTCATCTTTAATTTCTGTTAATCCACTTTGCAGATATCTTGATGAAGGAGAAAAAGTAGAAGTGGCCTTCTGGAGAGATCACAATCAAATGGACCCAAGTGCTGATCAGCAACGGAAGAGAATCAAACGAGACAGAATTAGGACGTAAAACAAAAAAATTATGTTGAAAAACATTTCAAAAACTGCTATGGGAAGAGTTAGCATGATTTTTGTCATCCTGTGCGAATTTAAATCGGACTTCTTCCACATTCCCAACTTGAGGGGAAAATGAAAATATACACCACCTGCACTTTTCTTTGATTTATGTTAATGCTAAGCTAGGTTGTACAAAATCTAATCACAGAAAACAAAGTTTTCCCGCGTGTCCATCGCAATTCGGAACAGACCATGGAAGGAGACAGAGCCTCTAGTTTAAACGCTTAACGGTAGAGAGGGGCATGTTTTTGTGGTATCTTGAAGCAATCTAAGTTTGGGACACAGACCCTGGCCAGATGTTCCTTCCCTACCTCCCCTTTACAGTTGAACAAGCGCAGAGGAAAGGCACAGACTGCCCTATGGGCCTCCCAGGCGTTGAGGCCCGATCAATGCAGAGAGGAGCCCTGGCTTTCCAGTGGGTCTTATGATCTTACCAACAACCCCTTGGAGAAGGGAGCAAAGCAAACGAATCCAAACAAGGGTGTTGTTGCCTTTTACACCAGACCGTAAAGATCTGAAAGAAATTGGGCTGATACTGTTGGAACCCACCCCTCTCCTAGGAAAATGAAATATTTTAGGATATATTAAAAAGGCAGAATATTTCCCCTAAAAAGAACTCAGAGGGGGAGAAACTCAGCCCCCCCCCTTGCTGGGCCAGTCTATTTTACATAACAAAGGTCTACTGCAGGTAGAGCTATAATAGGAATTGCCCCAAGCCCTTTCATTATATCATCATCCAGCAAGGCTCAACCAAGCCTGGGACTCAGGACAGCCTACAGAGTTGCCCCTGCATGGCCCCATGGGAGTCTTGACAACCAATCAGAATACAAGCTCAAATTCAAATCCCAACAGAGGGCATAAAACCCAGGCACTCTCAGCATCTTAGCCCTTCCTTCTTTTCCTTCACCCAACATTTTGGAAGCATGCCTTTTTTTTTCACTTGGGAGCTCCAAGCCATGTGGTCTTGGTCCACCATTAAACCATCTTTCCAAGCAGCCACCCCTGTTTTCCAGGGTCTTTCTTCCGCCCGCTTGGAACTGAACCCAGAAGGCTATTTTCTTCCAACGTTACATTTATTGTGTTTGGAGGAAATGCCCGCGGCCCTACGGTTACTAATTCCTCGGATCAAATTGTTTGGATGGAGCACCCACCCCAGTGCTCTAGAAACACGGAGACCCTTTCGCAAGGAGGCAGTTGACAGGCTGAACAAAAGAAGGGAGCTCGTCTGTGTGTGTGTGTGTGTGTGAAGAGGTGGACTCAGATGGGGAAGAAAAAAAAACCCCAAGCCCACTCCCCAGAGAGGCTGCGGGACTCCCGCTAATCAGCTGTTAACAAATCCACCCGCCAAGGCCTTTGCATCGGGATAAAATCGGTGTTCAGCACGGGGCCCAGGTGATTCCAAATGGCACTCTGCTCCTGAATTTTCGTCCTTGCTCGCTGCCCCCACCGCCCCCCGCCTTTCTCGCGGAGGATCCTTTTTTTTTTTTTTAAGAAGAGTGTAATTCAGCTAATGAGGTGGCTTTTTAGCGGAACCGTCTGGCAGGTCCCGTATCTGCAGAGGCAGCTTGAAGCTGCGCCCAGCCTCTCAGCTTCCCGAGAGGCTTTTCAAAATTCAATAAATAACATCTGTAGGCGATGTTGGGCGCAGACCTAAGCAGAGTGCATCATAACACTGAGCTAGCAGAACAAAGAAACCATGACGACTGCCAAGTCTCTATGGCAACCGCAGCGAAGCTTGGAGAGGATAATAGCACATCAATCACGGTCCCAAAGAACTTCATTATCAGCCAGAAAAAGGAGGGGGGGGGAACCCCTTTAGAATCTGTTTAGCGTGTAATGTAGGCTTACTCACCTCAAAGCCTTGCTCTCGGGCAAAAGAGGCAGCTTCCTGAAATAATAATAACAATAATAATTTAAAAAGCAGCAGTTAATTAGAAAGGGCTAGATAATCAAGAAATAACATATTGCCTCAGGCGGTCCCCTTTTACAGAGTTATCTTAAGTCTAGCCACATGCAAACCTTTCAGTTACTAACAGATAATCAGAGTAGGAAGGGACCTTATAAGTCATCTAGTCCAACTCCCTGCCCAAGCAGGAGACCCTACACTGTTTCTGACAGATGGCGGTCCAGTCTCTTCTTGAAAGCCTCCAGTGATGAAGCTCCCATAACTTCTGAAGGCAACTTTTGATTGTTCTCACTGTCAGAAAATTTATCCTTATTTCCAGGTTGAATCTCTCCTGGTTCAGTTTGCATCCATTATTCCTTGTCTGGCCTTCGGGTGCTTTAGAAAATAGCTTGACCCCCCCTCCTCCTCTCTGTGGCAGCCCTGGGTGTGACACCAAGGACATGTCAGTGCCTTTCACACATGATGGAAATAAAATGCAGGTTTTCCTCTTCATGGGCCACGTCAGGATGGACCAAGAGGATTAACCACGTTCATCATGGCTGATCGTGGCAATGATGATTCCCAGCGACAGCAGCTGGGAATCAGCGTGAAATGTAACCCAAAGTTGCAACTCAAACTTAGCTCCAATCAACCCTACCCAATGCAGTTTAGAGTCACAATCTGATCTTGTTATCTTCACGACTGCATGAGTTTGGCTGACACCAACCACCTTGGGCGAATGAGCATGGCAACACAAATCAAGGAAGATGACCTTTCCTGTCCAAATATTTTTAGCCGTGATCCAGGACAAGCCGTCCCGGCTCAAGGCTCCAGACTCATAGAGTGCAAAGAAAATTACTCGTTGTCAGAGTCACAGATAAAGCCATACATGGAAAAGTGCTCTCCTCGGATAGTTAAAACACCCAAACAATGGCAACCAATTCCAGCAGCTTTCCTAGAGGTGCATTGGAGGGCTGCATTTAAATATCTCAAAAGATCCTGCTGAAACGGAAGCAGCTGCCTTGGAATCTCCTTCAGTGCATAGGTTGTCAAAAGCAAGAAGGCCATACAGGTACCGGCAATCAAACCATTGTGATGTTGTTTCAAGAAGGAGAAAATAAATGTGAAACTTCCACGCAGAGTGTATTTGTACACTAGAGGTGGGTGTTCAGCTGGTTCTGACCGGTTCTGGAGAACCGGTAGCGGAAATTTTGAGTAGTTCAGAGAACCAGCCAATACCACCTCTGACTGGCACCGCCCCCATCTATTCTCCACCTGCCAAGTCCCAGCTGATTGGCTGGGTCTCCTTTGGTGGCCTGGGATAGGAGAACGGAGCTGGAAAGCAGGTTAGTGGGGTGGGGAGGGAATGGGGATTTTGCAGTATCCTTCCCCTGTCACACCCACCAAGCCACTCCCACAGAACCAGTAGTAAAAATGTTTGAATCCCAACACTGCTGTACGCCAATGTTTGGCCTAAGATACAAATGCATCTGAGTCCTCCCCACTCCCTCTAGAAATACCAGCAAAATCTAACTGTGACCTGTGATTAGAAGAAGGAGCTCATCCAAGGATGACTACTCTATTCTCTACAGGTTGAGAATAGCAATAGCGCTTAGACTTATATACTGCTTCACAGTGCTTTACAGCCCTCTCTAAGTAGTTTGCAGAGTCGGCCTCTTGGCCCCAACAATCTGGGTCCTCATTTTACCCCCCTCGGAAGGGTGGAAGGCTAAGTCAACCTTGAGCCTGGTGAGATTCGATCTGCCAAATTGCAGGCAGCCGGCAGTCAGCAGAAGTAGCCTGCAGTACTGCCCTGTAACCACTGCGGCTCCTATACGTTTCTCATTTTAAAACCACACCTTTTATTAAAAGATGTTAAAAACTAGGGAAATGTAGAAGGGAAAAGAGAAAAGGATATTATAAAAGGGTAAAAGAAAAAGCGAAAGATAAAAACAAAGAGACCAAAAGAAAAAAGAAAAATATCTAAAGAAGCAACTTCTGGTCTTCTTTGCAGCAGTTATGAAAATGGTTCTCTTCACCAACAAATGGTTTAGAGAACAATAAGTAGCTCCTCTCATCCATAGCCACTGTAACAAATAATTAGGGTTGATGGGAATTGATGAAAGAACCAATCAATGGACCAAAAGAGTATATTCAATATATGCAGGGTATTGATAGTTTTCCTGCATAATCCCCATTTAATGAAATAAATAGCCTTAGGCAAAATAATTGCTTTCTCTCATCATCCCTCATGGGATATACAAGCACAATATACACACAATGGCACTGCGTGCCTTTGACAAAAGACAACGTGGAGACTTTCCCTTTGTCCCTTCCTAAAACCCTCCTTTTATTTTTCCCACTTCAGAAATTCTCACAGTTGAAATGGCAACCGTTCAATACCGAAAACAAAACAAAAAAAGTTAATTCGCAACACCGGATATTAAAATTAGGTTGTGAAGTTGCTGCGTTCTATGCAACTACACTCAAGGAGTGCATAATGTGCACTGTAGAAATAGTATGGAGAGAGCGAGCAGCCCCAAGGGTGCTTTTTCTGGAGGCAACTGGATTTCCTTGTTTTTCTTTTGAAGACGTTTCGCTTCTCATCCAAGAAGCTTCTTCAGCTTTGACAGTATGAATCTGTGTGTGTGTGTGTGTGTGTGTGTGTGTGTGTGTGTGTATCTATATACATCTATCTATCTATCTATCTATCTATCTATCTATCTATCTATCCATCCATCCATCCATCCATCATCTATCATCTATCTATCTGCTTTTGTTTATCATCTATCTATCTATCTATCTATCTATCTATCTATCTATCTATCTATCTATCTATCTATCTATCTATCTATCTATCTATCATCTATCTATCTGCTTCTGTTTAT